TAGGTCTGAATCATGGTCCAAACGCGGACACACGGTGTCCTCTGTTGAGAACACATTTGTAGTTTGTCAGTTTAAACCCACTTGTCTTTAGAGGACTCCCTTCTCTCCTCCGTTTTTCTGTTTGCAGGATTTTTTAGGAAAACGGCGGAAAGCGGTGGACTACACCTGGGAAGTGCCTGACACTTCTCCGACTGGGATTAAAGTTGGATGAACCTGGCGGCGAGCTGAGGCTGCAGCTCTGGGTGCTAGCTGAAGGTTGATTTACTCCGAACTGTGTCATGCAAACAGGAAACTCGGTGATGAAATTAAAGTTTAGGTAACTGGGTTAAATTTCACTTCTTTGACGCAGCTGTGATGTGTCAGCTGACTCCGTTCTCCCGTTTCCTCCCTCTCTAAGCCCGATTCCAGACGGGGTCTTACCTGGGGTTAGAGCTGTTCCAGTAGACCGCGTACCGGTCAGAGAGGTGTTCCGTGACGGCGCGGCAGAGTCGAGGCAAGAGGCCGAGCAGCAGCAGCAGCAGCGGCCGCCCTGGGCGCCCCATGTGCGGCGGCGCGGCGCGCTCCGTCCCGGCGAACATGCGCGTCTCTTCTCCTCAGCTCGGAGCTTGTGGGGACCCGCAGGGACGAGAAGCAGAACCGAGACACATCAAAAGTTCCGAGGCTGTTTTGGTGTGTTCACGGCCGAGATGAATTATCACTGTCCAGTTATTACTGGCTTCATTCTTTGGCTCGCACACGTTCAACTGATCATTTCCCAGCAGCCAGAGCGAGAATAATCCACGGGACTGAGCCGAGGAACTCTGCGTGAGGAAGGGGGAATCTTCACGGTGATTGTTTGTCTGTAGAAACCAGCAGCTTCATCCAAATCCGTGTCCCGGAAGGCAAACTGTCCACAAAGTTCATTTTCACTCAGTCAGAACCAGATCCGAGCCGCAGCAGGACCGGGATCACGCACTCAGTCCGTCCATGTGCGTCCTGTTGGAAACTAAACTCAGTCCATATTTACGCCGAAGCTCTCATTCAGGATTGATGTCCTCCTGTAACTGCTCTGCACTCGCAGTCTCCCACAGCCTCTTCAGTGTCACCGAGGAGGAGCTTGGAGCGCTGCGCCGCACGGAGCGACTCCCAGAATCTCCCCGCTGCTCGGTTTGTGTGCAGCCGCTCTGCAAGTTCAAAACGCCGCCTTAAGTCCGCAACAGGAGCGGGTCTTTCGGTCTGCGGGTTCTTCCTCTGTGACACTTCAACCAGAATTTCCGCGGCTCTCTTTCTTCCCTCCGCCGCTGCAAACCTGACTGAGCGGAAAAGAGACGAACAAAGAAAGTTTTCAGCAGCTGCACGAGGACCGTTTGGTGCGCGCACCAGCTCCGCTGCTCTGCCCACTGCCGCTCCCGGTGTCTCCCGCTGGGCGGGGCTTCTGGGTCACGGTGCCCCCCCAATCAGTAGTACACCATATAGGCAAAAGTATGTGGACGCCATGATCACTCATGTTCCAACAGCCTCCACTTTTCCGGCTTCATTCTCTCCTCCAGATGTTGGAACCAGCGGCAGGGATCTGTTCCCATTAGGGGCATCAGGTCCAGCACTGAGGGCGGTGATGAGGTCTGGCTCAGACCACCGCACAGATGTTACTAATGACACAAACGACAGTGGACTGTGAGGCATCAGCTCTTTGTAAAACCTCAGACGTTCACACGGTGGAACCAGGTGAACGCTGGGTGTGCGGACAATCCCACAAGCCACCATCACATTTCACAGATGTTACATTACAGTCGTGTGAATCTGCAGCTGTTAGTGACGAAGAGTAACTCATTAAGGGCTTCAACTCACTGAACTGCTGAGGAGAGTGAACGACTGACACCCAGACAGGTTGGAGTGTCCAGAGCCTGCAGGTTATCCTCGCTGCAAACACGTGACCCATGACAGAACAAACTGGGTCACTGAGATTCATTCTGCTACAGTTTCGAGGCACGGTGTATTTACGTTACTTGAGTATTTCCGTGTTTTACTGCTTCATAGTGTGACTCCATGTCAGAGACCAACCGTGTACTTTTTACTGCACTACATGTACCTGATTACTTCAGTTCATTTCCAGAATCAGATGAATCAAACCAAACCCAGTAGAACCATCAGACTCTATTGAGCCACCAGCTACCCAGCAGGATGGAAAGTACTTCACAGTATAACTATATAAGGTAGTTAAATAACATTTTGAATGCAGGACCTTTACTTGTGGTATTACAACTTTGAGGATCCGAGTACTTCTTCCACCACTGGACCTGCGCCGTTCAGACGAAGAGGAGCCGCGGACGGCCACTTTCATTTTAGATCACTGTGCGAGGGAAGACTTGGGTTTAGCGTTTTAGTTGTGCTCGCCCCACAGTTGCAAAAGCATGAATCGGATCTGCAAGTGGCCCAGATCTGATCTGAGAACTTCTGATTTAGTTTGCTCAAACTTCTGGAAACTTCAGCTGTGATGTGAACATAGCTTTCTCCGTGCACAGCGGTGCATGCACGTTTACAGACTTTTGCACACATTCTCAAACCTGGGATACAGTTTGACAGGTCTGGACACACACGTGCAAATAGTGTCCCAGTAGGAGACAGTGAGATACCGGTCGTGTTGGCTGCTCATGCTGGACTCAGCTGAACAGCAGCTTCTATCTAAGAATGAACAGTCTTTGTGTAATATTTGTGATGCAGCGAGGAGTGTCGTCCTCTCTTCCAGTGATTCAGCATTCATAAATATTTCAGTGTCAGCTTTGGAGGGGAAGCGAGGAGGGGGAGGAGGGGTGAAGAAGAAGGAGAGAGAGGAATACAGATGAATCTTTAATTCTTGCTTTTAAAATGGGCCCACGGATTAATGGAGCTGCACGATTAAACTTTCAGAGGCTGCCATGAATAAATGCAGAGGCGGTCGACAACCACTGACCATGCAGACTGAGAGAGAGAGAGTCACTAGGTGTTGCACAACAGGAAAACCACATTACATCCAATTACACCTGACGAAACATCTGGAGCAGGTAACATCAGTCTGCGGGATAAAGGTTCTTCATGGGTGCTTTGTTCCACATGGAACCATAAAGAGTAGAAGAGCTGGTTTAAATGGGCACAAAGACCTGGTGAGCTGCGGTTTCATCTCTGAGACATTTTCTACACACCTGGACAACTGGAACACCCGGGACAAATGATGTGTCTGCGCGCAGGTGAGGTCCTCAGCTCATATTTCTCCCAGCAGCTTCAGAGGCCTTATGGTGCCGGTTAGGATCAGGGTCCAGGTTTCTGGGTTCAGGTCAGTCTGGACAGAAGGAAACAGGAAAACATGGTGGATCCTAAAGAGATTGTTTCCCCAATTGCAGCTTGAGCCCCGCCCATGTACGATATAAGGAAAATATTCGAGGAGAGAGGAATCGAGGAAACAGGTTTAGAGACATGAGACGTCCTTGATCACCCACTGATTTCGAATAAAGGGGCGCGTCGGATGCTCTCCTGTATCCTTGCTGTCCTTCAAGGTGCAGGACCAGAACGATTTCTGGGTCGAGTGAGGATGGAGGAGTGATCCATTAAGGAAAATGAAATTTAACCAACCAGAGCTTTTCAGCATTGCCTGCAGCTGCTGCAGCTGATATTTCGTCCAGTGAACAGGCTCTGGACATTGTTATTGTACAGTTTGGAAAAATTCAAAACACAAGTAGGATCACTAGTTTTTATTAAGCAGTGTGGACATGTGTGACACCGACAGCCTTCACACAGGCCAGGGGTTACCAGGTTGTGGCTAACGGCGGTTACCTGGCGGCTAAATGTGTTAGTTAGCGGTTGTTTGTTAGTTGTCAGCTGCAGTGGGTGGCAGTGACTGACTACAGTAAACAGCTGTGAATATATGATTTTATACAAACAGCTGTGGCCTTCACAATAAAAGCCTCCTGGGCGCCGTGCCGTGGTATTGTGTACCAGCAGATCGTCTGTCTGTAAATCATCCTAACACCACTGAATAATAATCAAAGTGCTGGTAGAAACTGACCAGCTCTAATTTATAAACTTCACAGGATTTCTTAAACAGAATCTAAATAATTCATTATTTTATATGTTATTACATGGATAATAAGTTTTATACTGAGCTAAAATAGTTGTATTGTGCTGTAGTTTTGCAGACAAATCAAACACTTAAGTTATAAGTTCAAGTCCTCCACTCTCCTGATCTGTCGTTATGTGATGCAGTCTGCCCCCTGCTGGTCGTCATCAGCATCACAGGGACAAACGTGCGTGAATGTAGCCGGTTTTTTCCCTTCGTTCTGTGTGGCCAGTGAACGTCTCCTGTAGTTAGTACATTTCCACAGTTTTCATCTTACTACTAATACTACTACTAGGTCAGTATCACTGCAGCCCCAGTGTGACAGAGAGGTTGTCTGACTGCACAGCGAGGAGTCACAATGAGCTCATTTCCAGTAGAGAGCTGCTGTTAGCTTGGCATCGGTTAATTGGTGCTTGAGTTAATAAACCTAATGACAGCAGAGTCAACAGGCTGTGCAGGTATGTCACACAGTACACAAGGCTACACACAAACAGTGGCACTTTGTGATGAGACTGGAGCCTTCAGACAGGAGACTTATCAGAGGACAGGGACCAAACACCTGCTCAGATGTTGTTTACACCTGCTGAGATCTGATCACAGTGTGAGCTACACCTCCAGATCTGTTTTCACTGATCCAGTTCAGAACTTGGAACCCACATCGCACGTATTTATTTTGACTGTGTCTGGTTGCAGGGAGGCCCTCGGGTCTGTAAGGGTCCCTGCTGTGTCCTGTGATGTGTTTGTCCTTGAGAAGGAGATGCGTCCCTGCAGGGCTTCAACACAGACATAAGATTTAATGGACTGTCTGCTGATTCGTCCACCAGCTTTTAATTGGCCTGTCTTACATGCAAACATCCATGTGACCAGTCAGCGTAGCGTCAGAGAGAATTAAGGGGTTAATTATTACCCAGAGGTCCAGCAGGGATGTGGCGGCTGAAAACAGTCAATTATTCACGTCTCATCACACCTGGGCAGAATTAGCCACCGGCTCCCTGCAGGACGGCCTCCAATCACACCGACAACAGTAGGGGAGGGGGGGTCCATTGATGGTCAAGCAGCGGTGTTGCTGATGGAGGCCAGTGAACTGGATGTGTGCATAATCTGCCTTTTAGCAGAAGAGCTGGAGCTGTCAGGTGGATGCAAAGCAGGCGAGGCGGCCGGTTAAATCCATGATGGAGCTGTCACCCAGGTGGCCATTAGCTGCACGCTGAGATGCCGCTCTTCTTCTACTCTCTGCCTAAACACCGCTTTCCTCTTATACTGCTCCTCAAACATGTCAAATGCTCATCGAGCAGCACACAACACAAACATGGCATGTGTGCACAGCGGTAGGAAGCTGTTTGACAGTTGTCTTGTTTGCAGCGGTCACTCAGCGGGGAGCCTCCCACAGGAGGAAGAGGAGGAGGAGGCGATCGGCTCAGAAGTGGCTGGCGGCCGGCTCGTATTTTGGGTGCAGGATGGCAGGCAGGGAGAATTAGCATTTAAAGTACTTGCCCACCAGGCATTAGCACACCTTGGTGAGCTCAGCCAATATGCTCCCTGCTGGCCTCTGAAAACGGCTAAAGTCTAGAAATCCCATCAGTGCAGCTCAGAGGAGGAATTCAAATCCGGCACTGAGGCAGCATGTGTAACGTCACCACAGAAACACTATTACAGGTAGCAACACCTTAATTAAACATGGAAGCACATTGACATGTAGCAGTAAGATGGACTTCAGTATCACAAAAGGAGCCGTCCACTTCCACTAATTACAAATTTGCCTCAACACAGCACCCTCTGACCTCAGAGCCTCTGATAAGGAAAGACTCCCCAAAAAACCCTCTAATGTGTAAGAAACCTCAGTAAGTGCAGATGAGGAGGGTCCCTGTCCAGGACAGACAGGAAGTAGATGCTGTGCATACAGAATAGGGCTGTCACTGTTTATTCAAATTTCAAGTATTTGTTCAAATGTGGTTAAAAACAACAATTCAAACTGTAGTGACCTGTTCGAATCCAACAATGCACTACATTGCCTCAGGGAGCGCATCAGGCCATTTAATGTAAGTTGCCTTGTGGTCCAGCAGCTCTTAAAACTCACTACCAGCTTGACCAGTGACAGTCCTGCCGACCTCAGTAAAGTGTCCAGTATGAGATTTGAACAGTATGATAACCATCTCAGAGAATATCACGGTATTCCACAATTCCTATTATTCCTTATTATCAGCTACAATGACCCTTAAAGGAATGAAAACTACAGGAGCTTTTTTAAATTGACTGAAAAAGAAATTAAATTTGACTCTAAAAGAATAATTAGTTATATTCACTTTATTTATAAAATCAGAATAGTTGTTAATTTACAAGGTGTGTGGCAGCGCAGTCAAACCGGGATACCGCTGCAACCCCAGTATGGTTAGGATTTAGCAGCTACAGAGCCAGAGGTTTCCCTCAGGGGCTGGTGGGCATCAAATCAGAGCAAAAGAACAAAATACTGCTGCAACCAGCCAGTTCTGTGGCTCACAGAAACATCACGACAGAGGCTGGCCAGCTGTGTGCAGATGTGGCTAAACTGGAAGTTCTGGGTCACAGTTCTATTAAAGACCAGTATGGTCAGTGTTTCTGTGCTGAATGTGAGTTTTATTTGGGTGTTTCTGTTATTATGTCCACCCTCTTTACACAAGTCTGTGTGTGAGTGTGTGTTTGGGGGGGGGCTTGTATTTTGGAGGATTATGCTAAAACGTCCCTCCTCTTTGCTCACACTGAAGGATTTCTGTGTGACAGCCGTGTGAAACCAAGCTGGCGTGCCGCCGCTTCTTTTTCTTTGTTCGGTGGCGTGTCACCGGTCCAACATGGGGGAGGTGGGGTTTTGTGGTGGTGGAGGGGGGAGAATAAGTCGACACAGATATGAACTTCCTCTAGTCTGTAAAGCTTCAGAGCTTCTTACTGTTTCCACAGGACTGAATGTGAACGCTTCACTTCTCTTCTTCTGTTGTATTATCTCCACCTCCTCGTCTCTTCTTCCTCTCCTCAGCAGCTTAATAAGAATCAAAGCTTTGATCGTCCTCTAGGGATGTGCACAGACACTTTGAGGGGCTGTTGTCCTAACCTCAAAGAGGGCAACCCCATGCCCCCCACCCTGACCTGATTTCTATGGCTTCTGTAATGTTAGCACAGAAACAATGATACAATTATTTTGTCTTTTTACTTTTTGACTGAAGTTATGTGCAATTACGATTCATTTACAACTAAAATGTTTTATGAAAACAGTGATATGTAATAAGTAGTTTTTATTGTAAACTTTATTTTATATGCCAAATCTCATATTCACAAATTTATATGGTCTCAAAGAAAACCCAACCTTTGACTCAAGAATGAACTTTACTTTGAAGCTCTACAAGGACAAAGCCAACAGGACTATGGACATTTATAACAATTTAAGGGCCTCAATGTCATTTAAACGCATTTTGCCCCTTTTTTGTTCTTTTGTTAAAATTGTATTTTGATAGTTTTTTTTTTAAATAAAAAGATGTTGGTATGAACTGAGTGTTGATTGTGTGATAACACCAGTAAACTATCACTTCCTGTTTGCAGTTAGCGTTTGCTGCCACCTGCTGGTTCTGAGCAGCAAACGCTCCCATGTATTTACTGAACAATATTAGTTCTTAACAATATACGACCTCACAAGCACTAATGGAAAGCAACGGAGAACATTTACTGAAGCACCATACTTAAGTACAACGTTAGGCGTTCATAGCCTACTTTGAGTATTTCCATTTTCTGATACTTCAACTTATCGCTCTGCGCCACAGACCTCTGCTGTTGTCCACCAGCACTGACCCTGGTTTGCTGTGTGTGTGAACTGATTCAGGTTAAAGACAAATCCAGACTTTTAGACAAAAAGTGATTTAATTTGTTTTTTCTCTGTGACACAAACAGTGTACGGGTCATTACTGTCACACACACTTTAATCAAAACATACATGTTTCATCAGATATAAAACCAACAATCACCTGTCACTCACCACACTGTGCTACAAAACACCTAAGTACAGTTAACCCCTCCCCTTCCCCCCGACTGGTCCCATCTTTCACAGAGGGCCTGTGATGCATTCGAGGCACCTGGGAGAAACCATTAGTCTTTTACATTTCAGTAAAAGTAAATGCATCTCTGACTGCGTTAACAGCCTGTGTGTAGTGACAAACACACTGTACTTCAAGTCCTTATTCACATCAAACAGCAGCTTTTTCGTTGGTCCGCTGAGAAAATACCTGCTCACATCATCGGTTTCTCATTTTGAGGCCAACATCTCAGCATGTGGATGGGATGTCAGGTTTTGTACATCCCTTTAGTCGAGGAGTTACAATCACACTGGATGACCTTTGTTGTGCAGAGCTGTGACCTCCTAAAACAGCAACACCCCCCTTCTACCTCAGCAGAGTTGTCACACAGAGAAAAATACAGCAAGAAGCTACCAGTGTCCTGTCAAGTTCTGCTACCTTGTCCAGAACATGCTCCCCTAGCCCTCCAACCTACCACGCCCTCTAATTCTGATTATCCACATCTGGAGAGATAACAGCTCGACACAACGCCGGCTTTAGTTCATTGTCTATGAAAAGAGGTAAAAGCCCCTTTCAAACAACAGCTCAGTGGATCTGCCCGACTCCGGCCCATTAACCAAGCAACACATTCAAGAAAGGATCTGCCCGACTCCGGCCCATTAACCCGAATGCCTGAAACATACTACATGCAAGCATGAGGGCACAAATGCTGATGCTTGGCCCATCTGACAGGTGCGCTCTTGTAGGCTGTGGGAGGTGATCACACTCGGTCGACAGGGGGCCAGCGATGGCTCAGAACATTTCCATGACCACATTTGGTTGTTTCCACATCCTTTTGTCATTTTCTGGCTGCCTTCCTGTTTGACAGAAGACTGACAAAGAATAATAAACACAGACATGTTCAGCCAGGGCTTCGGCCGTCTGCTCAGCCCATAGACCAGCCACAGTTGTTCTGAGTGGAAGCTAACCGAAACACAAGGGATCGGCTTTCTCTTTGTTTTATGCTACAGCGCTTGGACTGTAACTTACCCTGGCAGTGCAAATTTTCAAGCAACACATTCAAGAAAGCCACAGTGGTGACACTGAACTTAAGGAGCTTGAGGCATTTACGTACCCAGGTGAAGTATGTTTCGGGCCCAGCCCTACCCAGGACCCAGCAGCATACAGCAGACCAGGTAAGTGTCCTTTGTCACAGGCGTTTGTAAACACCAAAGTGATCTTTTCCTAACCATAAGCACTGACACTGTTGATGCCACATGCAGACATGCAGACATCTGGCAGCAGAGAATCATCAGCTCACATCGTCCATCTGCACTAGATCACTTCTTTTTTTTTTTTGTTTTTATGGTATTCAGAAACTATTCTTGGTGTAGATATAGACACACACACACACACCAATGTGTAGTGGTCAGTTTAACCCAGCAGTCCTGCAGTAAATCCTCCTGCATGTAGGTGATAATGTCCAGTTTGTGTTCAGACTGTTTCACAGAGGTGCTGGTTCACCTGTGTGGTCACTGTGGAGGCTGCTGTTCATGTGGACTGGGTTACACCGAGTGGTTTCTGTTGTTTAGCCTCAGTGATACAAGTACAGTACGCTAAACAACTGTAGACCTCCGAGTACAACCCAATGCAATCCCACAAGATCAGATAACTCCTGTCTTCAAAAATGAGCACACAGTTCAATCAACACCTGTGTGAGGGTTAGGTCTGAACACAAACTATGTGTAGCTCTACTGACACGCTTTTTCTGCATCACTTCCTGCTATATTCTTTGGTCTCCAAAACTATGAGGCCACATCTCAGTGAGATCTTGGGCCAGTGATTGGGTAAAGGCCGGAGGCACTGAACGGAGAGCTCCATTGGAAATGTGCTGGGAGGTGCTGAGGACATTAGCTGTGTCCAAATTCAGAAAAAGGGGAGGCTGAACATCAGAGGTTCAGGAATGAGATGGGACCTGGTCTGGAAGTGGAGGCGGAACAGAGTGAACTGGGACAAAGAACACCGCACAAACTGAGTACAACAGGTCTCTCTTTTTTTGTTCCAAATTCCCAGGTGTCTTGAATGCAGCACAGCTGTAAAACCCTAGCAGCCTGGAGGAAACCGTGGAGGAGCTTTGTCCTGCTGGAGGTCAGGTGGACATCTGAGTGGCTAGAATGTCGACATAACATTAAGACAGAACAGCATCTTCCGTTTCAGCACATTTCTGAGGCTCCAGGGCTTCTTCTCAGCCACAATTTCATATTAGAAGAAAGAAGAATTACTGCCCGACTCTGTGAAGGTGTGACATCTGGTTTGCAACTGCAGTGGCACCAGTGGGCTGAATCAAGTGAAGCAGTCACTGATAGAACATTCCCACAGCAACACACAGAGATAGCCTAAACCAGGTCGCCACCGTTTTGATTTTAGTCTTTAAAACCAGAAACCTGAGGCGGCCTGTTTTCTTTGCATCTAGAAGGCGATTTTGGTTTCAGCTGTAGTGGATCACAAACATAAATAAAACCGTTCAGAGGCAACGTGACAGACAGGTCCACATCATGACTCACAAGAGAAATCAGCAAACAAAACATTTGTCAGCAGAGCGGCGAGAAGAACAGCAGAAAGAAAGCCAACAAATCAAGGTTTGGGAATGATTAAAATATTGCTACAATATCTGATTTGACTAAAACATGATTAAAAAAATGATTGCATACATGTAAATAAAGAAATCAAAAGGAATCATCTAGATTAAGATCCAGCCAACCCAACAGTTCACATGTTCGACGCTACAGTAACCAGCAGTACATAGCAATAAAATATAGATATACATGTCAAACATCGTAGCAACAGTAAACGTTTATCAGCTGTAAACTGGCTCTTTGCTAGTTTACAGATGCATGATGGGAGATTTTTTGTTTTTACAAGTCAAAATCAAGGCCATTCTGAGTCCAGGATTAAGGCACAGGGATCAGGTGAAGCTTGAATTAGGCCCTTTTAAGCGAGACCTGGTCTAAGGTTCGACAGCCAGAGGGTGAATCCACCCAAATGCTGTCAGAGCAGGAATTTTAAAGACAGAAAAGTTGCTTCAAAAAGGGAAAACTACAGATGCAGATTAGGGCCACAGAAAGGACTGAGACCTGTGAGTCTGAGATGAAAGAATTCAAAATGAATAAAGTCAGAATTTAAAGAGCTTAAGTCAAATTCTGGGGAAATAAATGAATATGCTGACTTTAATTTCTGGAATCGGAGATTAAAGTCAAAAGGCAAGAGTGGCTAAAAGGCAACAACCTGACAAGAAGGGCGCCGTGTGAATCCCGACTGGAGTCGAGAAGGTCTTCATCCAGGGTCCTGACATTATACTCATTATACTGAAGTCTGAGATTAAATCCAGAACTCTGACATCCTCCAGACTAATCTCACAACTCCATCATTTTCTCCAGAGATCCTAATAGAAGAGTTAAGAACCTAAAAATGAATTCAAAGGAATAATTGAGCAGCACACCAGACTTCACACTGGTTTCTGCAGACATGCGCTGGAATGATCAGAGTGTAGTGGACACATTCAGGTCCACTTTCAGAGGAGTGCTGGGAATTCAGGTGGTGGAGTCCAAGGCTTAGATGGAGGACTTGGAGAAAGAGACCCGAAGGTGGTGGTTTTCTCCCAGGTCGTGGTTGTGGAATTCTATCAGGGACTCGATGGCCTCCTCCACTGAGCCCATCTGGATCAGAGCCATCTTATGGTCCTTCCTGAAGGAGAAACCAAAAGGAGATTCTTAAGACCTCTTCTTAAGGGATTACTAAAGTGTATAATTCAATGTGAATGTAGACTAAGACAACGATTGAAAGCTTCAGGACCAGGATAAGGAAGTGAATCCCAATTCTCTTATTTTATTGTTCCTCGGTCCTCCCTCGACCCGGAAATCATTCCAGTCGGCCATGATGAAGGACGTCCCAAAGCTCTTATTTCTATGCTGAGGAGCGAGGAGGCTGCCTGGAGGAGCTGTAACCAAGGATACACAAGTGCATCCTTCATGGAAGCCCATTACAGATTGGCACGGCTCTTTATCAGACCAGAGGAAAGGAAGTGTGATGTCAGTTAAAACACGCTTCCTCCTTCCTCTCAGTTTGTCCTTGTATCTTATGTGGGTGGGACTAAGATGCAAGGAAAAGATGCAAGTAAGGAAACCATACATGCAATTAGTGGAACTGGGATTCACCTAGTGACTTTGAGGCAAGGATAGGGGTTTTAAGGTAAGAAACAGGCTTTGTAGCAGGGAAAGGACATGACCTTGTGGCAAAAGAGTGAATGTAAAGCAAGGCTGAAGAACAGAGCAAGCACAGGGACTAACACCATGCCCCATGCCAAGAATATGGAAGTTAGGGTGCAGATGAAGGCTTCAGAACAGCACAAACTAAGAGCTGCAGGACAGGGAAAGGATATGGACTTTCGGACAAGGACAAAGACTTTGGATCACAGAGGCTTCAGGCAAGGACATAAGGACACAAGGACACAAAATAACTTTAGGGTGAGGAAAGGGCTTCATTCCTAGGGAGACATCAAGGCAAGCTCAAACACTCTAAGGCCAAGATAAAGATTTTAGGGCATAGACAAATGTTTCAGGAGGAAGAGGAAGGCTCCAGGGCAAACACAGGGTCTTTGGGGCAAGAAGAGGAAACAATGTGAACACCCAGGCAAACATGAAGTCTTCAGAATGGGACAAACATGAGGACTTCAGGGGAAGAATGAAGGTTTCAGTGCAGGTCTGAAGGCTTCAGGACAGGGCCAAGGACAAAGTCAGGAACTTAAGTGAAAGGATGAAGGCTTCAGGACAAGAGAGAAACAGTAAGCACTTCTGGATAAGAACAAAGGCTTCATGATCAGAAAACCACAGGCATTTGAGAGCAAGAAAAGCAACTTTGGGACAAGGATGAAGGCTTGACAACAAGGACTATGGGATACAGGAGTGCAGAGCGAGAGGCAAAACCTGGGGTGTAGCACATTAACGCAGCTCTGACAGGAGTCAGTCAGTATGGATGACTTACTGGAAGAACTTGAAAGCCTTGACCATGGCCCCTGAGCTGGAAAACAGCATCTTGAGGTCATCTTCAACCACAGAGGGGCTAAAAACACAAACAGACCAGATTGAAGAAATGTTGCAGGTTGTACCAGTCTGGTGCTGAGTGTGGAAAGTGGCCCTCAGATGGGTCTACAAGCCAGGTGTTGACAATGTTCCCACCCCAGCTGAAGGACTTACGGGATGTTGGAGAGGTGTAAAGTGGCAGAAGGTGGGAAGATGTTGGAGTAGTTTTTGGAGCCAGGCTTCTTGAAGCGGTGCAGGGGTGAGTTGCTGTAGTCTTTGGTCAGGCCCTGGTCCTCATGGCCTTCACGGGGAAGCTGTACGCTGGTGTGCTTGGACAGTGTGATGCGCAGAGGCTTCCCGTGCAGCCGCTGGCCGTTCAGATGGCTCATGGCTGCCAAGCAGACAACAATGCTCAACATCTTACACAGAATAAATACCTCATCCTTTCATGTGTAGTATTTACAGAGTATTCTGTTTATTAGGAACACCTAGCTAAAAGTCGGTCTAATGCTAAAGTCCTGTGATAACTCCTTCATGAGGTGATAATGGTCCTTCCTTTCCTTCCTTGTTTCCTGCTTTCCTTGATTGGTTCCATACCCCTTTATTGTTTCTTTCATTAAGTTTTGACTTCCTACCAATTAATTACCAATTAACCTGCAAATATCAGAATCTTCCAGAATGGTGTTACTGGAATATTCTAGAAACTTTTGAGTTGTCTGTAGCCTCTGTCAGAGTTTAGTTTTTATTGCATTTTGGAAAACGGCCCAACCCATCTGGAAATGGGGTTTGTATAATCTGAACTTTACATAATTTTATATTCAAAGGAACAACAGTGTTCCTCACTTGCTGGATGCAGACAGGATTAAAGTTCCCAGGCTAAGTTCTGAGAAGCATTTTACACAACACTGGATTTCATCCGACATAAGTGAACTATCAAGAACCTGTGAAGGCTTTCATTTTAGCAGTGAGGCCAGAGGACTGAAGTGAGCATGTTCAGGCTGTTACCTAGCTGAGCCTGTGTGCCATCAGACATCTGAACCAGAGCGTTTTCCTTCTTGATGAACAGAATCTTCACTCTCATCACATCGCCATAAACACCTGAACATGCAGTCAGAAATCCAAAACAGCTGGTTAAATTCTTGTTACACAGAACATCTAACAAAGACAATGACCTACACATGAAACTACACCCATTTAACCCTAGAGGAGGCAAAGAGAAAGGGGTCTGACTGCAGCCTGCCAAGACACTGACCCTTAGTCTGATAGGTGATAACACAACTTAGGTGGAGACAAATTTACTGAAAAACAGGGGCTCACTTTAAGAAACACTGTTGAGTGCTGGGTGTAAAACCTGGAGGTGAAGTGGGGCAGCAGCAGAGAGACACTGCTGTCAGGCAGGGGGAACGCTAACAAATCTGAGGATTAAATTTAGAAGCCAGGATTCCTGAATGGTTATACACAGGAAACGCAAGTGAGGAAATCAAGGGTAAGGGTCAGAGAAAATTTAAAATGGCAGATTTCCTTGTGTAGGAGCTATGAATTATGGGAGTTTTGACTTAAAAAAAAAACAAAATAAACAAGATTTTGCACTGAGGACATGCAAACTAAAAGAAACCCTGCATGCAAACTCAAGAACTGAGACTCAGGTTCACTGAAATAAGGTGAAACACACAATAAATGCAGCTCCTCGGAGTCACTACAGGTCGAAACCGAATGCAACACCTGAGACAGACGCACGTGCAGCCCTGCCCGACTTCCAGCCTGCAGTGATATATGAACCAGTATCTGACTGGACAGATGCTGCCAACGTCTCTGAGGCTGGTGATAATGAATCAAAACCAATGTTACCAATGCTACAAGTGGAAAAACTGCAGAGAGCTGAGTTGCTGCTGGCTGCTCATGGTTTCATACATTTACAATGTACATGCTGCCTTGGGAAGGATTTTAGTTTGATTGCTTTCACATCCACTCTGTTGCTTAAAAGCAACATAGCCTATACATGTGCATGTCTGTTAGGCCACTAAACAACTTTCTTTCGCATTATCTCCTGAAAATGCAGAGAACTGGTGAAGTGAGCCTCAGCGTGGGAGCGCCGTTTCATGTGCTGCTCACCTGGGTTAAACACACCTGACACTACTTTAGGAGAAGCCTGAACACATTTCTCATTAACAAACTTAAATTTACACCTATAACCATGGAGGAAAAGCTGCAAATATTGTGAATAAAATCAAATCAACATGCAAAAAAACAAAATCTGCAGACACTCATTTTTTTAAAATAAATCTGAAAAAAAAAGGAAAACAACAAATCAACCAGGAGATAATAATTCAAATGAAGAAGCTAGTGGCAACATACCGAAGAGAATAAAGAGGCAGTGTGGCGTAACTCTCTTTAAAGACAGCAGAGAAGGCAGCGGAGGAACAGGACAGGTAAAGGTGGGAGGGCGGGACAGGTGGAGGATCCGAGGCATTTCCATGGCAACAAATTAAAGGGGGTGGGGGGGGAAAAGACAGGTGAAGGGTCAATCAGGAGGTTAATTACCTTTGGAGGGGAGGGGGTCAGTTAATGTCAATATGGCAAGAACATGTTCACACATGGCTGGACAGCAAGGGTGTAAATCGCCGCTCTCCTCACGATACAATCCTACAATCCTCGTAGCCAGCGATCCGGCATTTGCCACCATTCGATTCATAAGCCTGTGATCGATATCTATTTCACACAATTATATTTTTATAAGCTAAAATGTAACTGAAGTATAATTTCAAAAGTTTAATGAGCTCCTTTGTTGACTTTCAAGTGTTATTTAAATTCAAATAAGGACCAATGACGAGCTTCCAATTCAACAAACATTTTTGAGATAGGAAGCTTTTACACCGTCTCATACAAAAAAAGCTGGAAAAAAACATATTTACTACATTGCGGTGGGAGTTTTGTTTAAAACACAGCATTCAGACTTACTGCTGTGTGTGAATACTTCACAGCCACGACCTGTTCCCGATGGGAGAGTTTACCTGTAGTTGTCTTGGCTGTTACAGGTCAAGGCCAGGTCTCAGAGAAGGCGTTTTGTCACTGGCCCCTCTCAGGCGACAGATGAAACTTCCGTCTATCAGGTGTGTCAGTCCACACCGACTCAGAGACATGAGTATGAACCATATCACCCCTGGAACCCCCCGTTTTCTACGCTTCACGTTTCTTCTCTCTGGTGCGTTTAACAGAGCGTAATGGCCACAGACCGTTTGTCTGGTCACCGTCCTACTGAGAGACAAACAGCTGTTCTGATGACAGCGGTGCCACATGAAGGTCGGAATCGGTGTGGACTGAATGGAGCAAACGCTTCAGCAGCTTATGTGCCGCTCATGTCTCACTTTCAGTGTGAATTCCTAGTGTCAGCGTGCCAGCTGCATCGCCTGACACTTGTTGTCCCATTTGAAAACAATAGTGCTTCACCAGAAATGCATATGAATGTAGCTGGCTGTCAGAAGCACTCAAAACGTCGATGTTTACGTTTTGCATCGATGTCATCAGATCGCGGGGTGGTTGATTAATGGATTGTTACACCCCTACTGGACAGGTGTGTGTTCACAGGTGTGTGTACGAGGGCATTAAAAACACAGGGAAAGATACAAAGGTAAAAACCTCAATGAGAACAAAATGTCTTTTAATGTCACATGAGAAAAAAACGACAGCAGGTAAAACTGAACAGCCAATTAGAGAGCACGATGGGGAACATACTGGGGTTAGGCAGCTTTGCCTATTTACACAAAACAAACAAACAAACAAAAAAACACCCTGTGTTCTTTTTACACAGACGCCAACATCCTGGTATTACAGGCGTGTGGTGTAACGTGACATCCAGCACGGCACAGAACACGGTGGAGTGGCAGAGCATACAGTGATGATGACAGCCCAACAGGGGCGAATGAACAAAGCAGGGATGCGCTTTGCTCGTCCTGTGCATTTACGACATGATTTTGACTCGGCTGTTTTGCACAGTCCACAACATGTAGAAAAACATTTCATCGAAACTTTGAACACAGCTCCTGAGGCGAAGGAGCACTTGTTATGCCAACTTTACTGCGTCTGGTTACAAAATAAAGGAGGGTCAACACTGTTTGGTGTTGGCCCTACCTTTATTTTGTGCATTTAAATGGATGCATTTATCCTGTCTTGAATGAGCAGTGGGGGGCTACAGGAACAGGTTTGTGTGCTGAGGAACACAAACCTGTATTCATCACATGTTCAGTGTGAAAGCATCTTTTCTCATTCAGGGTGACAGGACATAACCTTTCATTATTTCATGTTTGTGTTGCCAGGTTTGGTGTTGTTCTCTCAGCTCCTCTCCCTGAACTCAGTGGAAAAGAGGTGCTGTCGCTTTTTTCTGAACAAACTTGGAATCTAAATGTGTTGACACTAGTGAGGTTGTAAGACTATAGCGAAGCCTGTGCAGAGTTTGATCTGATACTGAACCACATCTCAAATCCAGACCCTTTTGAATCTGTTCATCATTGGCTTTCAGAATAACGTGAGAGACAAGAACCGGGAGAAGTGGCGAGCAGAGACAGGGACTCACCTCAGGGTTCAGGTTGCTGATCAGCAGGACACAGTGCCCAGCAGGGATCGGGGGGAATCCCAGCCTGGTGGCCCCAGGGAGGGTCAGGGAGGCCAGGGCTCCGGGCAGAGCAGGGACCGTCAGGCCTGGACATGGGAAGGACACTGGGCAAGATGAGCCGAGTCTAAAGGCTGCAGGAGACGCTTGACTGAGGCTAAAACAGGGTCCAACTACATCAAGACTGGCACCAGCCTGATCACTACAGACCTGCACAGGCTGGCTCTGGTGGAACGAGGCCATGTAAACAGGTGAGGATCATACTGATAAACAATTTGTCTGTCTATTAGTTTGTCCATTGGTCATTTAGACTGAAACATTGTGTTGTAGGTGGCGTGACCAGCTGCTCAGCAAATATTAATTTTACAGTGATACTTTGTTACAATAAAAAAAAAAAAAATTTTACAATGATGTGAAAGAAAAGCAGCAAATCTTTATCTGAGGGGCTGAAACCTGGAGTATGTTACTATTTACCTTGGAAAAATGAAAATTAAATCGACTACTGATTATTTCTTTGCCGACTGCATGTGATACAATGCTGTGCTCAGACCTGAGATACTCAACAGTGCCACCACCTGGTACGTTGGTGGTATTTCACATTCTGGAACAGTTATAAAGGAACACCAGAGGTTCCGAGTGCATGTGCACATGTTTTCATCCACAGTAAATATCTGTGTGCGAATAATCAAAGGAAGACGTCAATGTGCAGGAAGATAGAACCTTTGTTTTGCAGCTAAAAATCGGCTTCAGGTTGCAGCAAGTGATGTGCCAACTGATACACAGGCAGTACAAACCGCTGGACTGATTAATACAGCAGCTGATCAGTTGTGCGAGTGCACTCAAATACAGGACTGCACTTCTAAATGACTCCTTACTTGACTCCAAAGGAGAGCTGCACAAGAATTCCTATATGCCTAGACTGTCTGTTTATGCATACATGGAAAATAAAAATCCTGAATCTTGAAATGAGGATCAGAACTGGATCCGTTTTATTCTGGCCGATACTGATCCTGTGAAAAATGCCAGGACCAGTGGTGATACTGATGCTTAGTGTCGGATCGGGAAATTTCTACTAAGAAGATGTTGTGAGTACACTTCCCATCATACTTCAAGGAACTGAACCATTAAGTATAATATAGTCATCAAAGACAGAGCTCAGGTTTTTTTCGGTCACTGTAACCATGGAAACAGACATCATGCCACTGCTGATGCTGAAGGAAATATCTGAAGGTGGTGATTTAAAGTTACAGGTAGTGTCTCTTTCTGTAAGGTCAAATCTGGTATGTGGACATGTGTATGTGAGGGACATCTGTGGGTCGACACATCCCGACAGGTGAGACTCACCTGCAGGCTGGATGGTGAAGGCTGGGGGGAAGGCGTGAGTTGCTCCTGCATACGGTGCAGCTGAGATGATACCTGGAGCTGCAGAGAACAACAAACACCTGAGTTATGGGTCTAAGTGACAGTGTGCCAGTCAGGTTTTGGAGCGCCCCCATCAGTAGCTATGACGGTCCTGGCAGTGAGAATGTGCATGTACATGTTGGTGATACAGTGCTCTGGTGATGCTGTACTCTGAGGGTACGGGGGTGTGTCGGAGCTTCTTACCAAAGGCTGTGGCCAAGGCCGGGTGCTCCATAGTGGGCTGGCTGTCTCCACTGGGCAGGTCAGGTCTGGTGAAGTCTCGGCTCTTTTCGTTGTTATACTTAACATTGAGGCTGGTGAGTTTGGAGAAGCTGATCCTCAGAGTGCAGCAGCCATTATAGATGTTCTGTCCATCCAGAGACTGAAACAGCAGCAGGTTAACACCAACGAGAGCTCACTGGAAATGAGAGCACTGACAGGTGTAGATGCTCACCAATTTAGCAGCTTGGGCCGATGCGCCATCTGGGTACTGCAGCAGAACCTGGAACTGGTTGTTTTTGGTGAAGATGATGATCCGCAGCACAGTGCCGAACTTGGAGAAGATCTGAGGAGCAGATGGCAACAGAGTTTGGCTCAGCAGACTAATAGGGTCAGGTTTGTTTAAGGAAGAGTTGTTGCTGTTACTTCTTCACTGATATGACTCATCTTGCTTTTCTTTGACCTTTTCATATCCAGTATGAGGACAGGGCTGGTCTCTGGACCCTGTTTATTGCTCTTTGTGCCACATACCTGCTGCGTTTATGATTTTATTCCTGCCAACTGGCTGCCAAGCTTTTATTTTTTGATATTCATAATTATGTTTGTAACATGAACATGTGACCCACATTTCATCCAACAGCTGTTTGAATGAAACCACTAATGTCACTGATGTGAAGCTCGGTATTTCTGTCCAAACTGGGGAACGACCCTGCCGTACCCAGATTCATGCTGCTGGCTAAAGGCAGTTCAAATGCAGCATGGCAACAACCAAAAAAACAAATCAATCAACAGCAGTGTACTCATGCTCCAGGCTGAGTTCTCAGCCTCTCTGCTTTGTGTCTCCTGTTTGTGTTGGTGCTGCGTTGCCATTACCTGGCAGAGGGCGTCCAGGGTGACTGGGTAGACCAGGTTCTCCACCACTACCCTCAGCACGGTGCTCGGAACTGCCACAGCCATGTCAACATGGGACGTACTGAGGGCCCGAAGAGCTGACTGGGCCCTCTGGGACAGGACGGAAGGATGGAGGGTGAGCACATGCTGACACTGGCACCATATGAACGCTAACAGTAACAACTAATGGTTACCTCCTGGTTGGGGGAGTTGTCTGTCTTGAGTTCCTTGTGGTTGGAGAACTGGACATAGACTGGATGGTGTCTGATGATGGGTGTCACTGTGGAGTAATAACCCACCATGTTTTGAGCTGCTTCCTCAGAGTTCATCTCTAAAAAGGCCTGTCAGGACACAGGACGTTCAGCGCCAAGACCCAACAGCACAGTGGGAAAACACTTGTTAGAGGTTGGAGTGCTGCACCTGGTTCTTGGCTTTGAGCATCAGCAGGTTGGTGACATCTCCAAAGGGCAGACCCAGGCTGATCACCTCTGCCTCTGTGATGTCACTTGGAAGCCTGCGGATGTGGATGACCCTGGACGGCACCCCGGGACCTCTTATGTCACCTTTGAACTTCTTGCTGTCGTTGCCATTGGCTACAGAGAAGAGGACTGGGCTCAGACAACAACAATAAACATGAAGAAGCATTTGCATCACATAGTTTTCAGGACCTGACCCAGTGATGTGTATGTCACATGTCACAGATTAGCCAAGACATCAGGACCAGTCACAGGTGAAGGGAATAACGTTGACTATCAGGATTTGGGGTGTAAGAGACAAAGTGAACAGTCTGTTCTCGTAGTCACTGTGGAGGATAAACACCCGAGAGGCCGACAAGGACCAAACGGTAACATTCAGACCACTGGGTCAGAGAATCTCTGAGGCTCATGAGACGGATGTGCTGATGGAGGGCAGACACTGGAACAGTCCCAGACTGGATATATAAACTCTGGAACATGACTCCTTTACCAACTGGCTCTGTCTTAGCTGGTTCTAGCATTCTTAGCTATCCTCTGCTCTTTGCCTGTTTGAGCCTTGATACCATGTCACCTGGTTGTGGTTTGTCTTATGTATTAGATGTTATAGTGTGTAATCCTGCTGTCCTGGCCTCAGCTCCCATGACACCAAGGTTACTGCACTCAGTGGCATTTACCTGGTTAAATAAAGTTTAAATTAATTAAACAAGCCATGAAGCAGAGCCAGGTGTCAGGCATGTACTGACGCCCAGGTGCCACAACCCACCGGGACCGTCAGAGGTCTGGTAGAGTCCAGGCAGTTGGTGGTCATCACGCAGCTATTATGTAGGGCTAGTCATGATGTTTTGGCTCATCAGTGTGTGAGTGATGTGTTCCTGTGCAGCAGATCACTGCTTGGTGACGTGTTGAGCATTTTTATCATAATAATATATGTGACCTGTGGTGCTCATGATATACGGGCCGTAGGAGATGCTGGAGAAAAGCTCGTCAGATCCTCTCTGAAACACAAAAACACATGAGGACGTCACTTTGGCCTCCACACACACACACACACACACACACACACACACACACAGACAATTAGACCATGCAGGCCAAATCTAATTCCATTTCTATAGCCCAGTATCATACATTTGCCTCAAAGGGCCCTAACAGCTCCTCTGTCCTAGGACCCTCAAACTGGATCAGGAAAACTCCACAAAAAACCCTCAACAGGAAATAAATGGGAGAAGCCTCAGTATGAGCAACAGAGGAGGATCCCTCGAGGAGGAGGGACGGACAGGAAGTGCACAGAAATAACAACAATGCTGCTGCCAGTAGAGGTCACTAAACATATGTGTTTACTGACAGCGCCTAAATAAAACTGCCCAGACATATGATGACAGACACTCAACTTCAGGGTGGAAACCCCGTTGTCAGACTGTTACCCCCCTTAGGCTCCGGCAGGCAGCTGGGGGTGGCTTCCTGTGCTGTGGAGCTCAATGAAAACCAGATGAGACAAACAGAAAGAGCCTTATGTTTCTCAGACTGATCCTCTGATGAAACACACACATCTTCCCTTGTGCACAGACTAACAAAGATACAACTTGCAGGTTCGCGCATGTGTCCGCCTCATTGATACTTGCTCCGTGAGCCACAGACAAATCTGTGTTTCCCGTTTCCCTGTGATCTCCAGCCACTCTGCCCCACTCGCAGGTCAGCGTTCACCTTTGACACACTGCCTGAGCCGACTTGCTCTGTTGACCAATAGAAACACTGCCGCAGCATGGTTTTTAACAGCACACTATCGGCATTCTCACGCAGCTTCCAGTCTGTGATCAGTCTGTCTTTATGGGCCACATCACATACACCATTTCCTGGACCTTCATCTGTAATCTCCTCTGTTGGTTTAGGTGTTCCTAATAAACTGACTGTTGAGCGTACTGACCGGTAGTAAAACATAAACACACAGGCAGATGGTGACATTTTACAGGGTAAAAGTGAACTATCAGCGCTTTCTGGTAGACAAACTGTGTAACGAAGACGTGAATAAATGACCTCGGACACACAATATTTCTGTACTGACAGTGATATACACCCACTAATATACTGGAAATACCTGCAGTGAGCTGATGTACGTGCCCAGCTGGGGTATCGCTCTGTCTCTACACTTAGGTCATGTGTGTTGCAGCCACTTAAGTCTGCATGATGCACAACGCGGCCACGTTACAAACCAGTGACGCCTTCAAAACAACAGACCGATTCTGTTCACTGTGACGTACAAGAGAAACACGGAAACATTACCATGTTAAAACTGGAACGTGTAGTTCTGAAACATTTCTGCTTGAAAATTTAGAACATCCCACGTTCACTGTTGTTGTCTGTGATCCCACTAATAAGTGAAGGGACCAGTCATTTCAGGCCCACCACTGGCCAGGAGCGCAGGTGAACGAGACATGGGAGTGAGAACCAAAAGACCAGGAGAACAGCTGAAGGTGTACAGTGGTGTTTATGACTGATTTCCATAGATGTGTGTTCAGATGCTGCCACAGAGTCATTAAGGTCAGTCAGTCAGAGGAACCTGAGCACACAGAGCTCAGCTCTTCTTACTGAGCATGCCATTAATAATGTAGCAGAAACCTGAGACCTACTCCGCTCCCAGCTTTTCCACCTGGACCTGCTGTCTGGCAGCTGCTGAGCCAGTGACTCTGCTGACAGTCTGTGGGGGACTGAACCACAGCAGCTCAGCGCAGGGTCACAGAGGAGCTGCTGCCTCCTTCTCTGGACACCCTCTCGCTCCCTGGCATCAGTTAGTTCTCACTGCTCAATCCAACTGAAACACTCAGTCGACTGCCACAAAACTGAGTCGTTATTCTTCCAGGCCAAACTGTCAAGCACTCTGGGGTGGGACTGGAGGGGTGTTAATAGGTTTAACCTGCCCACACCATCTGGCTGCATGTCGCACATCTGATAGCGGCAAACCGATGGTGAGACGTACGTGAAGGTGCAGCCGTCACCTCGGACTCTGGGGAACTCTGCCCCTTCTGCTTACTGACAGTAACTTAAGGTGAGGTGACAGGACAACACATCACACTTTACTTTACAGCTCCGTCCTGCTGGATCCATTTCCTAATCATTTCCTTGAAAAATAAAGTCATTTGGTGGTAATTACAATATGGTGAATAGTATGTTTGCTTGTAACCAGTGTCATGTTGATCTGACCAAAATACATGCAGAATACATAACAACTCAAACTAATCAACTGAACAACACTCTGTTTGCCAGAAAAGAATGATCATATCTAAAGTCAGCTCTGCAAACAAGGCCCAGACCACAAGTTACTACCCAACATCCAGGTGGCATTTTATAACCCAAATGATTAATCACTTCAGTTAGAAACTAATCAACAAATCCATCAGTCAAGAAAGATCCCTGGCCCTACCAAGAGTTTCGTGAACACAGAAACCTGCACACAGGCGATGCATTGATATGATTAGTTCCTGATTCAAAGGGAAACACACAGCACTGAAGAAGTTTAAAACAGGTGAAGAGATTCTGAAAGACATGCTTAAGATATTGCCCTCAGACTCAGTTCTCATGTTCCCAAACAGCTCTGTGTCGGTGTCCCTCCAAACCAAACCAAACCAACATCTGCCTGAGCAGCTGGGAGCCCCCTGCTGACCTCAGACCTGCTGACTGTCCTGGAGCTGTTTCTGAGAGTAAGACTAAAACACCCTGAACTGTCCCTTTAACAGGTTTCAGATCACCCGCCCCAGGCCAGAGGAGGACACACTTCATGAGACATGTTAACACAAGATATCACATCCAGATCATTTCTTCAGTCTGCTGACCCCAAAAACACAGATACCTGTTTGTTCGTCAATGAGACAGAGAACACAACCACTGTGTTTCCACACAAGGCCCCAGTCCGACAGCCTCTGCAGCTGACTCCTGGGTTCACCTGTCTGCAGGACACATGTTCACCAGCCACACTCATGGGGAACAGGAAGTCCAGTACAAACACGTCAAGACAACCAGTTAGAAATGAAATGGAAACCTACAGCCGTTCACTCAACACAGTCAATGTTCTGCTGTACGATACTGAGGCGTCATGAAGAGGTCCTGAATTACAGAGCGAACCTGGCACAGCGGCACAGCCTGGATACGCTTCCTCGGGTTGGAGCAGCATGCTATTTCACTATTGGTTCATCTGACATGTTTGATTTGTCAATTCAAAACTCAAAGACATAACACAGAACATCACCAAGTTTTCAATTAACTGCTCATTAACTGTGTCAATCCATTCATCAATTCATTGTTACAGCTCTACTCCTAATCAATACACATTGTCACTGTATTTTTAAGGCAATTGGCTTCTGAAAAACATTTATTCAAGAAAAAAAATCATTTTTGATCTGCCTTATTGATGATAGCAAAGTATGGCTGCAACTAACTGCTGATTATCTTCTTGTGTAATCAATGAATCATTTGGTCAATAAAACCATCAGTTTGTCAATGACCAAGCTGAAACAGCCACCAAATATTCCCATCAAAGAAGCAGCAATTTGAGATTTTTTGGGGCATTTTTACTGGTTAGTTTTCAACTAGTCAACCAGCTGTTTCAGCTGTGAAAAGAAGCCAAGCAGGTCAGCGCAGCCGGCTCTGGTCTGAGAGATAAAGGTGAGTGACTGTGGAGTCTCTGCACAAAGCTTTTACTCAACAATGTGATACTGACAACAGCTCCAAAGACTGAGAACGGCCATTACTTTGTCTCTGCTCTGTTTACACAGCTCCTCCAGCTTCTCACGCCGCACAAAACAATGTGTTGAAAAACCACAGTCAGTGTTGCCGTTAGGCTCTGGACAGGATTTGTGCAAAATAACAGCATCCTTATCCTGTAAGAGTGAGCCAAGAGTGTTGTGGAACGCGACCGAGTTACAGCTGCAGTTTCAGCACAGATGAACAATGGCGCGACCTGCACACAGAAAACCTCTGAACGGCTCCCAGACTGCAGTGTCTCCATCCTGTCACACAGACACACAGCAAACAAACCAACACGCCAGGCTGACACAAAAGGAGGAGGAGGTGCCTACCTTAGTACCAACTGTTATATCGTGGTGGACACTGCTGGGAAGAAAAGACAACGTGTTAGAAGCAGCAGAGAAAACTCACAGCCACAAAGTTCAATAACGAGGTGAAATATGTCGTGAAGAGACAGAGGAGCCGAGAGAAACCCAGCAGAGACGAGCAGACATCACGTCAGGAAGCACCCCCAGAAAGGTTCTTGTCTGTTCAGGTTCATTGTCAACTAACCTCTTGGTTTGTCTTATCGATTAACTGATCAGCCATTTGTCTAATATGACGACACACCCAGAGACTCACTGTCAGAAGACATAGGAAACCACAACACTGCCCCATTCACAAGCTGGAACCAGAGAATGATCTTTATTAAAACCTCACTCAAAACCACTAATCTGAAGAGTTTACTAGAGAATTACTGACTCCACATACAATAAAGTGTCACAGAAATACTCAAGATTCCAAACAGTACAGTGCACAGGAATGTGCACATGTACAAGTTAAAGATATGTGAGCAACACAGTGTTGGACACAACGTCTTAGTTATATAAGTAATACTTAAAGCAAATGAAAAACTGGCTGGTCAGGCTGGTGCTGCAGACTGTACAGCAGCTTGGAAAGGACCCCTCAGGGCACAAATGAGTCCTGACGAAGCACAAATATTCACAGCAGGAACTCAGCAGCCCTGGTTGCAGCTAACTGCTTATTTATTACATCTGACGGTTGAAAAGCACAGTGGACACCACCTGAGATCAAGTAAAAACAGCTACAGTCAAGCTTCCTGCCTGTAAATAAAACAATACTGTAAATAATGTTGGAATCACAGCCACTTCTGCTTTAGTTTTAACTTTAGTAACATTTTAAATAGCTGCAGGACAAACGTAAGGGTTTCCTGTTTCCTCCCTTTTCCAACAACTCTCTGGAATGCTATGGAAAAGTATCAGTATAAAACAACAATTTAAATCTATAATGTTTCTGACTGAAAACTCGGGTTTGGTTATATGTGACTTCAATGAGGGCATGCAGACAAAATCACACATTCAACAACTTCTTGTGAGAACTGAACTCCATATGAAAAAAAATCTCTTTAAGCTCTTTTCCTTATCCACAAAACCACAAACCCTTTAGAACATGACTCTGACACTAAAGCAATTCCCGGGGGCCGCTCTTCAACTCGGCTGAAACTCAAGTGAAATTCTCCTGACTAAATTATGCCGTTTACTACAATGATGCTCCGGCTGCTTCTAACTGCGTAAGAAAGGCGTCATTTTAAAGCCGTGGTCCATGTCCACAAGGAAACGAAAGACCTCTTAGAACACGATCATTGGACTTAGCACGAATTACGAAATATATGGTTTTTATGCAAGTGGCTTTGAGGCAAAAAAAAAAAAAACAAGTTCATAAATATATTATGTTTCGGTTAAGGCTTCCAGTCTGGATTATACCAATTTACAAAAAGAGAGAACATTGGCCACCTGAATTCTATATGAATGTCCACAAAGATACAGTATAACATACGGAAACACAACTCAAGACTCTAAACAAAATCAGGTGGGGCTGCTCATCATTTCGTATAACACACGATGCTCCCATACTTCTTAATTAATCTAACTTTTAGAGGTGAAGGGGTGTCCCCCGGTGGGCGTGAGAACATCGTAAAGCTGGAAGTTATGTGCGCTGCTTGGTGATTCTTCCTAAAGTTATTTATCAATCAGATATTCAGTACAATGTTGTGAAGATGCGTTAAAGGAAGAATGTAAACGAGCTCACAGTTAGCTACCTGACAGAGAACGGTACGTTTCGATGCTAACAGAACAGCAAACTAGTCTAGCTTTCTGCTACTGCTAGTACCACAAACAACTTTACCGAGAGCACAGGTAATAACAGGAGCACAAGGTGCTCACCGGAAAAACATTAAATGGCAACGTCTTTTGGCTTATTGGCTTCAGATGTATGCTAATCAGCCAGAAACTACATTTAATTGGAGTCTGAATATAAATCGGTGGAACAACTCACCCGTCCATTGCACAACAGAGAACTACAGAGCAACAAGTTCCAGCCAGAGGCTAACAATATACCCCAGCCACCACTATTATAAACTGACAAAATGGCGTGCGTCCTGAGGCGCTCCCTCGTTGGACGGTTAGCCAACATTGTAGGCGTTCCAGACCGGAGCCGTGTGCTGATTGGCTGGATTGACAGCGAGCGCAAAGCCCAGAGAGTCCAGAGATCAAAGATTGTCTATGAGACGTTTCATGTCCCAGTAGAGAAAAAGGAGACGCAGCGACCTCAGTCAGCTGCTTCCACTACTACTATTAGAGTCAAGCCCAGCTGGAGAATAGCGGACCCAGCAGGCGTTGTCCGGAAAAACGTACCTTTTGTCTTCTATGCTGGTTCACCACAGAAAGGCCCCAGAACCCCATGTTTACTCCATATCATTTCTGCTTTCGTAATTTAAACCAATCAGAAATTTGTCGGAAATGTGCATCAATGAAGCGAAATATCAGGGAAGAGGGGTCCTCTGTACAGACGGATCATGGGACAATGGGCCCTGTGCACAGACATGTAAATACCGCCAGCCTTCAGTGTGGAGCAAGAGCCCCTGGCTGAAACAACACAAAAGGTTTTGGATTTCTTGGGGTTGGACAGCAGACTGCCGGTTTCTACCTCTCTGCTGGACTCATAGACTCAGTGTTGTGTAGCACACTGATAAATAATTCCTCCACGTGATGCTTTTCAGGAAATTACATTGTGTGCTGGGAGAGCATCCAGCTGCTCATATATAAATAATTCAACACACACACACAATACTAACTTGCAGTTATTAACTTTCTAGTTGCCTGGGTTTCACCTTGAAATTCTACCAGTTTTACATGATATTTTGGCTCAGAGTATAATTCAATTCAATTGTATTTGTATAGCGCCAAATCACAACAAAAATCATCCCAGGACAGTTCACATAGTAAGGTCTAGCTCTTTATTATTATATTATTATTATTACTACTAATACTACTATTATTATTACATAATGAACAGTGATGGTGAGGTGCAATCAGGTGTTCATAAATAAACTTGCATCTTATCTGTTTCATTTTGTGCTTCCAGAAAAATACATCAGTAAGCCAACGTTAGCCTCAAAGGGTTACATTGTGCAGATAAAGCACACTCGTTCTCATTGCAGTGTATAGTCTATTTAAAAACTGAAGCTCTTCTTTATTGTACTTGCACTCACAATGACCAAGAGGCTCACTTTCATCATGAATAAACGTTTTATGCTGTAAACACCTCAGTCTTTGAGTCATATTGAAGCCTGATGTCCTCACTTGTTCTCCAACCAGAACCTCTCAAGTGGACGAGTTAATTAAAATAAATAAAATAATAAACCCTCACAGTGCAAATACCAACTAATAAAATCATTGCTGCAACTATACAAGAAATGACACAACTCTATAACATGTCATGTTCTTGATCCAGCATCTAAACCAATCAGCTCTCAGATCAGGTGAGAGCCAGACGTTTCCAGAAGGTTGCACGGTTCGAATCTCGGTGCCTGCAGTCCATGTGTCAAAGTGTACTTGGGCAAGACATTGTCATAAGTCTGATTCATTCTTTCACTGTAAAATTGATTAGGTGAGATAATGTATAAACCAGATTGGGGCAAAAAAAGTGCAGTGCGGTCCTTCTAAACGCCCATGCATTCTCCGCCATGTGAGGGCGATGTTGAGCGATGGGTCGTTTAATCTACTGCCAACAACACAAGAAGGAAAGAACAAGACCGAAACCGTATCCGATACTCTATTGGTCAGACTCGTTGTGAAGAAGCTTCCTATTGGCTGATTAAGTTGCCCCGCCAGACGAGTTTAGAAACAGCGCCATAATTAAAGTAGGGTGAGCTATTGTTTTGTTTTTGTTTTTTTGTGTGGATTATTTGCGCTAAAATTGACCAAATCAAAGACAAGTAACTATAGTAAAATAGCCTTTTAAGGACGCCAGGCGTTCAGTTTGTGTCTCGAAATACGCGAGTTTTGTCCCTTTTGTTAAGATAACAGACGCAGCTGATATGATTCCAGTGGGAAGCTAACGTGGTTAATTCACGAAAACTAAGTAACTCTGTTGAGTGCGGTGTTTTCAGTTAAAGTCAACGATCAAGGCTAAGCTCTGTTGGTTACACGGGGATGAGTTGTCGAGTGAACCTTCAGGCTTTGCCGTCTGGTGTTTTTGAAGAGGTTTTTACTCCGGAGAATGTGAGGGGAAGGTGGGTTCATGTTAGCACACGGCTCAGTCTGATTATACCTCCCGTGTCTGAGTTAACGTTACACCTGTAGACTTTTCCCATGTGGTTGTTTTCTTACACCAACGAAACTGCACGTTTGCCCACTGTAAACACTGTACGTGTTGATAAATGTACTTCTGTTTTGTCTTCGGTTGTGGTTAGACGAATCCACCTTAAGCCGGTGAAGGCTCTGTGTTTCAGCGTAAACTTTAAAGGCAGTACTGGTTTACTCAGCAGCAGTTAGGGAGCGACTCCTGGTTGACATGTTGAGGTTTTTACCGTGTATTCTGCAGGTAGCGACAATAACTACTTACATTGCCAGGGGCTTAGAAAGTAAGACAAATAAATCCGTACACGTTCTGGTGGCCGTGTGTTAACATATAGTAATACGGTGACATTTTAATTGGTTGTAAATCTGAACAGAGTTTGGGTTGGAATTCCATTTTACCTTGTGCATATATGTTCCAAGAATTAAACCAATTTGATAAAAAGGTCATTGGTTTTTGTAAGTGAAATCTTTGTTATTGCACTAAATGTATTTGTGAAAAAATGTTTGTGCACAGTGACCCACCCTAATGGTCCTTGCCCATGGAAACAGGTGTTTTAGTGACTGAGATTGGAACTTGTTCCAACAATTTAATCCAATATGTAATTAAGTTAAAAAAGCCAAATGCTGTCTTTGTTTTTTAAATATTATTTTAACCAAATGAATTTTGAAGGCCTCTGTTTTTTCTGTCATTTGATGTGACTTAAGTAATTCTGAGCTTTATTCAACATGTACATTTCTGAGATGAAACCAGAGTTTGATTGTGCTTCACTGACAACAGAAAATATGTAAATGAACCACCTGTCAGGTGAGTTCAGCTACATGAGGACATGGCTTTGACAGCAGCACAGAAACAGTGTGGCAGCAAAAATGTGAACACAAATGACACATTTTGAATAGGTCTGTTCACACCATTGTCACAAACCTGAAATGATGATAAAATTAAGATGTTATCAGCTGGCTGTCTCTCTCTTCACCACCTGTGACTGTGACGTAATTCTGCTGTTGACTGAAAAGAGAGAAGAATAGAGTGTTTTCATGTTACACAGCTGTTTCTCTGGACACAGTTCTCTGCTTAGGCCACCAGGAGACTGTCTACATTTGTCATCTGAGGAGGTGTACAGA